ATTACACCTACTATACAACTCATATACATGTGCTAGCTATGATGTAGTACATGCGTATACATGTACTAGACAACTTGTATGTCAACACTAAAGAAAACTTTTAGAGTAAAAGATGATTGAAAATTCTGCCCTGCAATGTATATTCTTAGGCTTCTACTACAGCCTAGTCCTGACTGAACCAGTAAATTGTGCAGATGTGGAAGTGAGGTTTGCTGTAAATTGTGACTAAGGTGACCATCCATTCAGCTTTCAATTATCACACATGTAAACATGTTCTGCATAGTAGAGATGGTTTTTGTATTAATGCAGATTCCAATAAATTTCTTGCTTATTGTTCAAAGTTGATGCTAATGTTGTCAATGTGGTACTTCTAAACAAACACCATATTTGATAGAAAATTCATCTCCCAAATCACCTTCCTCCTTTCTTTTATTAAAACAAACAAGGAAATTGAAACTCCTTCATTTTTTCCTTACCTAATCGCCAAAAAGGGGTCAAATCACAACAACAACAAAAAAAAGGTAGCACGGTGCACAAAGTATCTCACATTCCTACAGGGGTCCTGGGAAGAGCCGCACCCCAAGGGGTATGATGTAACCAGTCCACCCTAATGCAAGTATTAGTGATTGCTTCCACAGCTCGAGCGTGTAACCTATAGATCACACAAAGATAACTTTACCGATGCTCCAAGGCTCCCCTTCGGTCAAATCACAGTTGACACAAAATATTTCCCATGAGATACACTGTATAGACCAGCATAAAGTTGAAAGTATAATCAGCAAAATGAGCAAATGGGTATCAAGAGTTTTGGCAAATTAGCCTGCAATTGCAACACATTTTACTCATTTTATTGGGTCCAGCTGAAAGACAGGGTTACAATCTTTTGTCATCTCTTTAACTTAACATGACAGAATCAGTAGGAGAAGAAAAGGGAAAATTACTCTAAACACTCATAACTGAATCTCACATTCCAAAGCATTTGATAGAAACTTTACAGGAATGTACACAACAAAAGCACTAAGGATGGTGGGATATTAGACAAGCTTTGCACCTTTTAAGCATGAAATCCTATAATAGAAGTTTCTTATGGTCAACCTCGACGAACCATACGACTCATAATTTCCTTGGTTCTCCCTCTGACGGAGTGTATTTCTGATTAGCAAATGAAGCTGTCAGCTTAAAAACCTTTTTCGCGATGTTTGTTGTGCATCAAAAGGCGAGAGCAGATCAGGTTGAAGATCCTGTAGTAGACACCTTCAAGCTCCTTTATAAAAACTTCAGGGTGCTCTAGAGAAAATGAAATGAAAAAGATGAGATTAATAAAAAAGAGAAGCATGAAACAAGAATGAATGCATCAGTAAAAGCATCTCGTACCTCGATCCAAGTTAAGTTCAGCAAGCCAGTTGACCATTATACTCTAATATACCTCAATCAAGATGTAATATCAGCTTAATCATGTTGAAGAGGCAAGTTTCGTGGATTTTATGGCCATCGCCGCCTTAATAAGGAAAACAGAAAGCTCCACTAACTTGTTAGGATCTGACTTCCACGCATATCAGTCTTAAGATTTTACCCTAATTAAATGAGGTTGCAGACATTAAATAAGAACCTTATTTAACAATTTCCTTACATGCACTGAGGAAGCGTCGTCGAAAGTTCATTGTACAGCAATTGTCCAGCAGGCCATCTCCAAACATATGTCCAGTGTCAATTCAATGAAGCTCAACTCGCCAGTTCTCTTTCCAAGGAGAAGTCTTTAAGTTAATTCAAGTTTAGTTCCTTTTCATGACTTTCCAAGATTTCCTCTTCCTTTTCCACCTTAACAATGCCATCTTGTCACATTTCAACATACGATATTGTTGCCGATGCTTTAGCCAGGAAGAGTAGTCCTTTCCTTGCTTGCACTCAATAAAATCAGCTAAGTCATCAAAATCAGGGACTCGTTCAGAACGCCCTAGTCTGCACTTAAGAAATATCTTCCCGTTGGTTGTTTCCTCCGTTTCCTCTTCCATTTCCTCCGTTTCCTCTTCCATTGCTTCAAAATTTTCTTTGCTGTAAAGCAAAGAGGTGCTTATCTTTGAGCTATCTTCCTTTCTTCTATGGTTATCAGTTAGTAGAATAAGGTAAATGGGTGGATTAAAGGAGGGAGGTAAGAGGTAAGCATGAATAAGATAACTACCAACTACAAAATCATGTATGCAACAGCCAAAACTTCATTTAAAAATGGAAAAAACATAAAATTTAAGAAGCAACTACTTTGTCCAGAGTTTTCCTAGTCCTCCAAATGGTTATATGTTATATATTTTTAAAAAAAAGATCAGATATTTAAGCTTGCAAATTTGAAACTGAACATGCGTAATTTAAAAGAACAAACATTGCACTAATCATAATATTATGAAGTAATACAGACACCATGCCCACTTACAACGAAGCATACTACAGCGAAAACTATCAACAAGAAAAGACAGAAGTATATGATCATAAAAGGAACGAAACCAGCTTGAAGTCTTGAACACATAACTACACTATCATTGTGTTCTTTCTAATGATGTAAATAATTATATTGATATGGTAGGAATAATTCCACATAAAATTTTACAAAATAGTACAGAATCTCAAACCTTAAATTATAATTCTCAACAAACAGAATCCATTCATGTATACTGCACCGGAAGTGTCAAAAATAATTTGTACAACGTATTTTCTACTCGTTTTGAGAAGGAAGGTATTTTCAACTCTTCCAAACGATCTTCTATCCCTTCCTTTCTATATTTACCACATGGACACTACCATGCTTTTCTTCTCAGCCTTTTCCTCCTTATTTTCCATCATAACATGATATCTGACATCACCACTTCAATAATTTCCACATAACACGCCATAGCTTCTATGTTATCAGACAGTAAAATAACAAACAATAGACTTCTTTTTCTTGCTCTCTAGCACATTTACCAACTTATGTAAACAGTTTTTTTTTTCATTTCAAGTATCATGCATTTAGAATGGATCTCAAGTTGTTGTCCCCTCAAAAAAGCAAATCTTGTCAGCACCCTAAGTATCCAGAGTGGAGTGTCCAAAATCCATTTCCTTCAGTTTTAAGAATCTTGAAGATACATCCCTCTGCCCTTTTCATCTCCAACTATCACTATCCATATGTTAGATTCTCTGCTGATGAGCAACCAAGCAACTTTCTTGATCTTAACAGATTCCTCTGAATTTTAGGTCCATAGGATTCACCCTTCCAATTTATTTGCAGAACTGCTGATGTCTGCTAGCAAGAAATATCGAATACAATCCGAAGTACTTCACAGAAGGCAACATCTCAGCCACTATATATGTTTTCATAAACCGATTCCTAGCTCTTTTGCCTGGTTTCAAGCATTTCCGTAGAAACTATCCCACATTTTCCTAATATTCCTTCATAAAGCTACTCTACACCGCAATCTGATATGAAATGGGCCAAAATGGACCAAAATGATCTTAATGATTTTTGGATGAAGAAAATGATCTTAATGATTCATATAGCCGACTTTCACTAGTCTAGGATTGTGGAATATTAGTAGTCATAGTATGTTTAATTATTTCTCTGCAGTAAGGAGAATATGACTATGTTGCCGTCACTTCTGCTGCGGCAGTTCCCCTTTAGAGTTGGTGTCGACTTTCTGTATGAATTACTCAATTTTTTGGATACTTGAGTTTGCAAACCTCAGTTTTTGAGTTTTTTTTTAAATAACAAAAGGAGTGTTTATTGAATTATTGCAACCCCCCCCCCCCCAAAAAAAAAAAAAAAAAAAAAAAAAAAAAAGCAACTTCTTTTGAAGATTTTCCACACTCGGGCTTCCAAATTTTTCAAAAACTTGAAAACTTGTTCTTTTCCCGAAAACAGGTCAAATACACACTTTCTCCAAAAAAACTCAAAAGTTGAGCTTTTGAAAAGCTTCAAACAAATGCCAGCTTGAGCGAGGAATCTCTAGGAAACAATGTGAAGTGGTTTCACCCATGAGCCTTTCATTAACAATCTCAATAGAATATTAGAGTACTACATTTCAAATTTTCAAATGAAAAAAAATACATCCAGTATAATACCAGCTTGGTACTACAATACCAGACAAAAATTACAGCTAGATAGATGTACAGAAAGATAAAAATTCATCCTAAATTACATATCGTCAGTTCAGTATTTCTGTAGAGTTGCGGCTAATTTTTATCTTGGGAGTCTTGGAGGCCCACTATTTCTACTTTTATGGGCCAAATATAAGCTCACTCCTGTGGGATTAAGTTGTTTCTCAGTAGAATGATTTTGGAGAAAGCTAATCCTATACTATATGATCACAATATCACTTTTAATAATTCAACTCTTCTCCAAATTTGTTTTTCCTTTATTAATTTTCATTCTTTGATGGTTCTAGCTCTCACACAAAGATAACTCATAAGAAAGTTAATTTGAAATAAATGATATATAGCGCATGACAGGAAAAACTATAATCCTCATAAACAAAAGTTCAAAAAATTAAAAGAAAATCTGAGCACATGTTTGATGCCAGAAAAGAACATCTGCTCAGGAAAATAGATCAAAACCCCAGTAAAGCGAACACATCAAAACTTTTAAAATGGTATTAGTTTTCCACAGAGAAGAACAGAAAATAAGGAATTGCATTTTTTATAGGCATCTGAGAAAATAAGGAATATGAACAACATAATAGATTTTTCTTTTTCTTTTTTTTTTTAACATACAAGTAAGACATCAAAAGGCAGGACTGAATTGAGTTCTCTACATCGGAATATCTACTTATGAATAAATCTAACGGCAATATAGAGGTAAGGCAGATTGGACAGAAAGTGTGTATAATATCTACATAAAACAGGCCATACAATAAACCTCTGATGGTTCAAAAGGCTGGTCAGTCAGCATGGAAGCGTGAGAGTAAATTAGAAGTTATACGACGGAAGGTACATACATGAGCCTTTATGCCAACAGAGTAAGCCACATTTCATGCAAATGCAGATATAGTACAAGAAAACAAGAAAAGTGGAAGTAAAACGTGAATGGGGCTTCAAGCTCGTGAATGATACAGAGTGATGGCACTATATTGATACCTTGAACGCAGGGCCCTTGCCTTCTGGAACTTTGATGCAACCACAAGGCTAGATCTCTTGTCCACTACAGCCTGTATTATGAACTAACAGCTTAAAATACAGTAACTGTAAGCAATATATTCTTTCAAGAGCAAAAGGAATTAAACCTGACCTCCTGGATTCTAATAGCAGATAATCCAGATGATGAAACGGAGTCTGGAGTTGGACCAACTAGTGACTGGAGTATATCCAAATTACCTTCTTCAAAGATGAATAAATTCAGCAGAGCTATAATAGTAAACAAGCAGCCTTTTGCTAAACAATCAAGCCTCTTAAAGAAACTGACTGAGAGCAATCCTGCAAAATGCAAAAACATCATCTTGGAAACTCTGTGCTTCTCAGAGTCTATCTCCGTCATTTGGCATAACAAATTTTGGACTGAACTGTCTATGTTGACATTTCTGAAACAGTCAATTATTCCCAAGATAGAATTGTATTCCCCACAGGATGAAAAATCTTGTAAGGTTTTTGAACGATCAGAATTCACATTGCATCTCAGGCACCAGACAACTTGTAACAAAGAGGAGCTCATTAGCTTCAGTATACAAACCAAAAGACAAATATCTTGCAGACTTGTATCCACAATTGTATTCTCCTCGAAACTGTCCGAAGCTCTTAAAATTAGGCAACTTAAGGCTGAGAAAATCTCATCTTGGCAGCATTTGTCTAGAATATACCGACTCTCGTTCACATAAGTTATACAGGAACTTGTCAGGTCGGATTTCATTTCAGAAGAAAGTTTAAGAAAGTGAGATTGTGATGAATCCTCAAACTTTAAAATCAAATTATTGATCTCCTTTCTTGTGCTTGCTAATATACACAAATCAAAAAGGGACTGGATTTCCTTCCCTTCTGCACCTTTGACAGACATATGACTTACAAATGAAGATCGACGGTTGATTTGCAACAGGGGCATATGCTTCATGTACAAAGCTACTGACTTTTCAAACAGAGCGAGAAAGTAATTGATAGGTCTATCATTTGTGTTAAGGTTCTGCATATCCACCAGCAAAAAGGAGGCCTCGTAAACCATTGAAATCAAATGTGCTTGCATTAGTTTGGGTGCAGAAAGACTGATGGGGTTGAGGAGCAATGCTACGGCCGCGGTCGGACTCAATTCTAGAGCTTTCAATGAGAATTTTAAATATTCATTGTTTACCAATAATATTCTGTTAAGATGATTTCCAGACCTATGCTCATCAGACCATGATATTAAGAAGTACCTAGAGAAAACTTCCATTACTATTCCTATTTCTCCCTGACTTGGCTGAGGTGTAAATATTATTTCCGCAGAAGAAGCTAGAGAATCAATAAGCTTAAAGAAATGTCTCAACTGTCCATGCACCAGAAGCTCATCCACAAAAACCTGCATACATGTAATTTCCTCCGTATTAAGGGGGTAAATTATACGTCCTAAGTGAAGTACACAACATGAGGCAAGTTACAACAATAAATTACAGGATGTACGAATGAAAGAAAAATAAAGAGAGAAATGGAAAACCTAAGAAAGACTGGTGGATGTCACTGGTAATGAAACAAGATAGTTTATAGATCAACAAAAGGCCAAGGTGGTGGTAATACTTGTAACCTCATAGACTCCAAAAAAGAAACAGATATCTTGCAGTGAAAGAACTTCTCTTAGGAAACGCTGAGAAAGTCCATGGCCATTTAAAAAGAAGTCGCATATCATATGCATGCTGACTTCTGTACTCGTGCCTAGCATCCAACCTAAAGACAGTGACCAAACCTTTTTCCCCTTTCCATTCCCTTTCTGTCATGGCTGAATGAATACGACAAGAAACATATCAAACATGGAAGTGTTAAGTAATTTCCTCGCTGTACAGCAACAATTTTAAATAAAATTTGCGCACTTCTCTCCTATATCCAGACACTCATTTTGTTTTCAACCAGCTTTGTGAGAAAACCGTGCTTGTGAGACTTCTTTTTTTGAGATGTCATATAGTATATCCAGAGTCCAGTATTTTAAACTGCAGCTCGCGTCATCAAGCTTTTAGCTTAGACATGCAGCTGAATTAACCCCTACATGCTTCACTCATTAGAGTTTTAATCAATATTTATTCCTTACCTCCCTATTGTACTGCTAGTGATCCAGTAAGTGAAGATAGACTGACTTACTCAAACCTTATAAATGGTGAATCATATTCTACGTTGGCAGACAAGGAAGTACTAAATTTATTTCATGACAAACGAGAAGCACAAATCATGAGCTTTCTATTAACCAACAGGAGATTAATAAGGAAATTACCTCAAACGTTGCACGCAAGAAAGAAGTGTGAAGATCAGATGGCTCAAAGAAATGGAGGGACGCAACAAAGTCCTCTGTGGAGGTCGTTCTGCAATCATTATCCTCGGATGTGCATGCTTGAGAAACTGAATTTTCAAAAGTAATTTCCGTCCTATTTTCAGCCCCAAATGTGTTTATTGAAGATAACTTTCGAAGTAACACCAAAAGGACCTTCCCTTTTTCTAAAAGAAGATTGTGTCTGGACACAAGCAAGGGCAAGGTGACCATACAACACCTCAGCAGCAAATAAAAAATTTCAGCATCTTCGGAGATATTCCGCTGCAAATCACCTTGTCTAAGATCATTCGCAGAGATATCACGGGAAGCAGAGGATAAATAGTCAAACCTATCATACACTTCTTCAAATAATACACCAGAGAGGGTTTCTATATCTTCTGATGACGCCTTAAACCCATTGTGATCAATTTCCATACCCAATTCATCAAAACCAAGATTGTATGTTGGACTTTGTAGTGGGTTCAAGGAGAAATGGACAAGCAGAGAATACAAACTCTTAAAGACATGTAATCTCACACCCTGCAAGATGGTAGAATGGGGCTCAGTAAGTTAGAGGCAAAAGAGAAAAATGAAATAATATATCAACTGTAGATTAGTTTAGCCAAAACATCTTAGTACAAACAAGCAATTTAGAGAAGATGTTGGAAAAAAAAAGTACTTAATGAGGCATTAGTGTACATTTAAAATCAGTAAATTTGTAGACTCCCAGTATCAAATGCCAGTAGTATTGGAAGTCAACTGAAGACTTGACTCTCACATTGTTTCACCTTTAATTCCAATTTTACCAGTTTGTCTTATCGCACAATTTTATCTGATTTTCTTTTTGATAGGCTTTCCGCACAATATATTTTTTCCTCTATTCTTTTTTTCCATATATTGTATGTCATGTTTGGTGTACATTCACACTCATTCCATATTTCTAAGAGTTCTGCACTTTCTTCTCCAATTTCTCTAGGGAGTAGAGCATTGCAACTGAATCTTACAAGAGTTGTAATTTGCAATTAAAAATCGTTAAGATGGCCGACAATGCTGACTGACCTTCAAACAATTAAGCCACAGAAAGGGGTTCAACATTCGTTCATAAAATGAGCTTGTGTCCGCTTTCCATCTTATGCCAAAAAAGTAAATAAACTTAAGCGAGAAAAGATAAACATACTTTTCATAAACCATGAAAGAATCCAAAAACTTCAATTATCAACTTCAAACAGAAAATTCAACACTATTTTCCTACAAAATCCAAATTTAAAGTGTTCCCTAATGCTTCTACCAACAAGCAAATAAATCTACAAAAAAGCTAAACCGAACTGGTCTGCGACAAAAACTTCGAATGAGTCCACTACCTTGTTAAACTTATTCCATCTAAAACCCACAATATTTGATTACTATTTTCTCAACAACTCTAATCAACACGGAACGAAAACAAAGAACACAAATATGCTGCAAACAATCTAAATACACAAGTATATTTAACCTCATTAAACGAGAAATTAAAAAAAGCAGACCAAGAAATAAAACAGAAACAAAACAAAAAATAGGAAAAAAAATAAAAATAACAGTTTCATCAAACAAGAAAATACCAACATGGGCAAGCTTCAAATTAGCTAAATAAATAATTCGCAAGTACAAAAAATACCCAAAATCTCTCAAAGTAACAACCCTTGATTCNCAAGCAGAAATTAGTGGCAAATCAAGAAATAAAACAGAAACAAAAACCAAAAATAGGAAAAAACCAAAAATAAACAGGTTCATCAAACAACAAAGTACCAACATGGGCAAGCTTCAAATTAGCTAAATAAATAATTCGCAAGTACAAAATACCCAAAATCTTCTCAAAGTAACAACCTTTGATCACCCCACCCCCACTNAAAAGGGAAATTTAAAAAAATAAACAACCCTTCTAAGAAAAAATTAAGAAAAAAAAGAGAAAAAAATTAAGAAAGTAAAAGCACCTGTGGCTGTTGAAGGAGTGAGATAAGATGGTGGAAAACGCCAGAAGCACATAGGGTTTCTTCTTGAAAATGGTTACAGCTCTTCGATCTTCTAGTTGAAACCATGGTTGAAGGACGTATGAGCAGAAATCAAGGGAATCTATTTCACCCTAAAGATGAATTTACCCTTTAGGACGATTTGGCGCGAAAAACGATGTATATGCTACTATATGAATTGCCTGAATTGTTTCTTGTTTTTGTCCTATAAATATTTTTAAAATGTGTGTTCTGAAATAAGCTGAAAAAAATTGTGTGATTATAAATTGTTTTATTAAAAGTAAAATAAAAGGTTTTAAATTAAATAATTTTTAAATAAAAAGTTATAATTTTTTTGGGATAAATTAAAAAAGAAAGTATGACAAATAAATTGGAATCGGTAGAGAACAAAATTTCAAATGACGTATGTGATTGGTCATACATCGTGGTTATATAGATATTTTTTATAGATAATTCTTCGCTGGTGAGATATGAAGATTAGTTGGATTTATTCTTTCTTTTTTATCGACGAGTAATTAATTGATCACTGACAGGGTTAGGGTCCTTAGTTTCATTTGGAAAGAAGAAAGAAAAAGGAAAAACATTACAAGGACCTATTAAGTTAAATAGTTAACGAGTATGCCATTCAAATAATTGCATAAACAATATTGATGAATCTTGTAAGTTGATGAATTCTTTAATACATATTAGATACAAACACATTGAAATACGAATACATTGTGGAATCATATAGTTGAAATTTTGTCCCTTCGGGGATATCTGATAAAATTGGAACGATACAGAGAAGATTAGCATAGCCCTGACCAAGGATGACATGCACAAATCAAGAAATGATCCAAATTTTTTATACATTGATTAGTTTCCTCTTTATCACTGAAAAAGTTAAAGAGAAATCCTATATCTAAAAAAAATCCCTAGACTACCTCAACTAATTTCTCTAGCCATATCCAATCCAAACATGGATACTGATATGGAGATGGTTTTAATTCCTCCTAAACCATCCGACATTACCATAGATTATACCCCAAAACTTCTGAAAATCAACAAACCTCCTTTAAAGACAAATTAATTGAGGGAGAGGAGGGGACGAACATCATAATTGAAAACATTATCCCTCTATCCAACGACATTCACACTTCCTTCTCGCCAAGACATACAAATGATAATACATCGGGGAAAAGAAAAAATTTCCTCTCTCAAGAGGATAGAAACCGTTGCATATGCCTTGGAAATACTCCATAATCATAAAATTACAAGGTAAACGAACTCTTCACCAAATCCTTAAAAAAAAGTTCAGGAACTGTGGAAAGTAAATGAAAACTTTTCTCTAATAGACCTAGGCTCAGATCTGCCTACTGAATTTTATGACGGGATTATTCTTCAAAAGATTGGTAACTCTATTGGGAGACACCTAAAAATTGATATGTTTACCTTGAAAAAGGTAATAACAATTAGATTTGATTTTGTGGTTCTAAAAATACATGATTTATTTTAATGCTAGTTATTAGGCAGTAAATGCTAGGTGTGAGATTAGAAAATAAGATAAGAGCTTGAAGATAGTATGTTATGCAAACCGAGTGGCCAAGAATCAGGGCTTCGGGGTCGAGCTAAGCGTTAGGCTGTGGGTAGTCGTTGAAGGACTAACGGTTCTAAGAGCTTTACTGAGGGCTCTTTATGATCTATGATGAGTAATAAATGAAGAATAATTAATGAAACACAATAAATGTAAGTAATACATCTACCCACCCTTTTTACTAAGTACCCCAAGTATTTGTTTACAAATAATTACAGGCCAATGAAGGAATTACATAAATGAAATACAAAACTAAGAAGCTATTCTATAGGGAGTCTGCAATCAGGTCCAAGTTTCCCAAAGCCTCCAATGGTCTTTCAAACCTCATTTCCATAGACAAATCAGGGTCTAGGTGCATCAAAATTCCCTAAAAGTCTCAAGGACCCCGGGCAATGCTTACACCTAGACTTAGTAGCCAAGCATTGAACCAATGCAGTATGGAAAGTCAGCCTCAATATGCCAGAGTTTCAAGGGTTCTCAAGAAGATTCCAAGGCAGTACACATACCAGAGGGGGCAGAACTTATTAACTAAGAGTAGAGTGAAAGTGCATGATACATGTTTATTAAAGACTGAACTCAAAAGAAATTGTTTTGAAGGCAATTAGTAACAGAGATTGTTGAAAAGAAGTTGGAATAGTAAACAGAGTTCAAACACTTCAGGATAAGACCACACACAGCAAGTTCATAGAATCTAAATATATTCAGTAATTACACAGGGGTTAAAGGGGTTTGGGGATACACAAACATTGTCTGCAGACACATGACCTCGGCAGGAGTATTAGGACTGGTATGGACATGCTCAGAGATAGTTGGACACTGGCATAATCACAAACCAGTCATAAGCATATAGAGGGGAATAAGGATTTGGGATTCACAAAGTGGTAAGTGCATAGTAGGTAAAGAAAACAATTGTCCAAACATGCTTGAATCACACAAAGGAATACATGAGCTTAAAGGGAGGGGAGTCATACTAGCATGCTTAATTACAAACTCCACAACAAAATCATAAGTAAAAGCAGACTAGAAATAAAAGAAACTGAAACAAGAAAAGAAACATGTTATTGTTGTGGCTGCAAATTAAACTAGGACATACCCATGAAGATAGAAGTAAGCAGAATGAAAGAACCAAAGAGCACCGATGATTAGCCTTGGCTTGCAGCCGGCTAATAGTAATAGAATAACACAGAGATTTTAAATAAGAGAGGGGTTTTTGGAAGCCAAGTGTGTGTCTTGTTTGTGAAAGACTTAGGGTATTTATAGTTGAAAGTAGGTAGTGGAATAATGTAAAAATCTTAGTAGTATACTAATTTAAGAGTAGAATCAATCACTTAGAGAATCAAGGAAGTACTTCCTTGAATTAAGGGAATCAAAGTCAAACGGAAAGATTCAGTACCATATAAGGGGAAAAGGAGGAATCGGTGCATAATTAGACAAGGAAAGTAGCCAGAGTCCACTAGGCATAAAGTAATCGATTAGGACCAAATTTAGAAAGACCAAATTAAGGAAATACTAAGTAAAACCAAGTATAATAGTAAATAAGGTAATAAAATCAGTGAATTCAAATAGACGAGTAGAATTCTAGGGCCTTGATGGAAAATCTTTCAATTACCAACAGTTAAGGAAAATCAGAATCAATCATGAGGGGTCATGATTCTGTGTGTTTCAACATATAAATAGAGACGAATGAATAAAAGTAGCAAACAAAACAAAGTCAATTATATAGGCAGAAAGAAATAAGATATGAGCAAACACAATCATATAGAGGTGATGTAAGTAGGCTAGAGATTCAGCAGGACATATTCGAAGTATGGTGACCACGAGTATGAGCACGTGATTTTTGCTTCATACGAATTACTCTAAAAAAATTCCCAAAATTAGGCTTTTTCTTTAATTATGTGTTATTCTAGGAGTTACTTTTCGATTTTCCTGATTGTTTGCGTATCTTTGTGTGCATATTTAATTTTATTAAAGCATTAAAAAAATACAAAAAAATATAGCGTCTGCACTTAGGATTTGATTTTACATTTTTTGGTTAATTTAGTAAAATGTTGTTTTTACTAAAAAAAAATAAAAAAAAATTTCACAAAAAATAACGTATTTTTGCATTTTAGTGTTTAATATCAAAATTTTGCGATTTTCTTTTAATTTGGTATTAATTATGTGTAATAATTATTATTTAGAATTAACTAGTATTTTTGATAGGATGATTTGGTTTATAATTTAATTTAGGATTTTAGTCTTATTTTTTTGAAAAAAAAAGGAAGAAAAGAAAAAGAATTAAAAAGAGAGAAAATCAAAATTGGGCTAATATCCCATTTAAATCCTAAGCCCAAACACAAAACCATCCAAACCCATTCGAACCGGCCCAAATAGCCCAGACCCGTCTCCAGCCTCAACCAAACGACGCCATTTCAGGCGTTTTAATCCGGGTCGTTGAATCAGCCTGATCGAACGATCCAAAACCCTCATCACAACCCGACCCGTTCCCACACCCGGACCGCCCCAGTTGAAACCAAAACGACCTCGTTTCCATTTATGATCTAATCAGAGCCGTTGGATTCCAATTATCCAACGGCCCTAATCAAATCAAACGTTCCAATATATCAACCCCCAAACCCGGCCCTTCCCATCTCATTCCCCCCATCTCTTCAGAAACCCAACAGAACGCCACCGTGAACCGCCGCCTTCCGCCCACCGGAAATCGCCTCACGGCGGTTCCGGTGGCCCAAATCACCCCATCTTTACACCATAGCATCCCCTCACCCCCTCTTTCCTAATCCAAAAATATTATCCCTCAAATATCCCTGGAACCCCTCGAATTTCAGATCAAAGATCGGACTCGAACCCTAGTTTACCCAATCGACCCCAAACTGACACCCCATAACCTCCACAACCCCCTCATGCCCAATATATCATTAGTTTCCCTCGAATGTATCCAGAACTCCTCAAATATCGAATCTAAGTTCGAGCCTTAGAATCCTAAAATTCTGGTCAGTGCATGAAGGATCATTTGGTTGGATTTTTGGGCTTATTCAAGCTTGTTTCATCACAAAATAATAACGCTCGTTTGTTCTGCACCAAGAACAAACGTTTGGTATTATTTTGGGTTGATTCAGAGTGCCAAATCCAAGTTTGAGCCTGTCCAGTGAGTTTTTTCCTAGTTTTTGTTTATTTTCATTAGTATTATTCTGATATTCGTCTCCCTCGTCTCTTTTTTTTTCTGGTCAATTTCAATTGAAATTCGATCAGTACTCTGGTATAAATTATTTCACTGTTTGTTTCTGTAGATTGGTTTCGTGGATTTGTTTCGTATAATTGGGATATCAGTAGACTTTGAAATCGTATTTCGTTTAATCACTTAGTCAGAATAGTTAGGATTAGTTCAATAGTTTGGTTTAACCTCTTGTTTAATTATGTTGATAAGAACTGATTAATATAAGTATAATTCAAGTGTTTACCTACTTAAGAAGCTTCTAATAGTGGTAGGGTTGGGATTGCAATAGCTATTTAAATTAAGAAAACACTAAGCTAGTGAGTAGTTAAAAATGAAAAGGTGAATAAATAATGGAGGATACACTAAAATGAATGCCTATAAAAAGGCTGAACTTG